TATTAATCACAGGACATTCACACTCAATAACCCTTACAGCGCAATTGTTACGGGTGCCTATTCAGCAAATCCCGCGGGTTTCAGTGCAACTTACTCTCATGTATGGGACTGCTACATACTTGCGGGGCTTGCGTTTGAGTAGGCACGTGTAGGATTGCACTCCTTCATATTATTATTACTATTATTATCCTAATTATTCTGACTTCGAGGCCAACAGAGCAATTAAAGGGTATTGCGATTCCATTTTAAGCGTTGTCGCCTCTGCGAGGGTGTTGGGCGCGAACTAAATCCTCTTGCCCACGCAACTCCCCATCCCCAGCCGTGGAGACGTTCCCGACTGCAGCCGCGCTTTGATTTTACACGTGGGAATCCGCTTTACCCCTTGACGCTCTACGGGTGCAACGGTGCCGAGGCTAACCCAGCTCCTTGGAGACCATCAGCAGGGCATAGCCGAGGGAGCCGCGAGTCTCCACGCTCCAAAGCGGCAGTCAGGAACCCCAGGCGCAGATGCAAGCTCAAACCCACGCGCCCATTAAAAAATAAAAATATCGCGCGACTGCTTACCTACGAAGAGCCCCACGAGCCACCAGGAGCCGAGCATGGCCAGGTCCAAGCCCCACGCGGCGGTGCCTTTGCAACAACCTGTCCCCGGGAAACAGCCGGGGAGGAAAAAACCAAAGCGCGCACGGAGAGGAGGCAACTCCGGTGCTGTTTTGCTCAGCGCGCACCGCCTGTGCCGGGGAATCCCCGGGGATCCATGTGCTGCTGAGAAGCGAAAGTCCCGGCAGGCGAGGAGAGGCAGCGCACGGGCAAAGGAGGCCCCGACGGGCAGGGTTTGGCGGCGGCGGCTGCTCCAGAGATCGAGAGAGAAACACGCTCCTCTCTCCTCCTGCTGCTCCCCTTGCAGCGCAGGGCGCGTTCGCTTCTTCCGAGCCGCAGCGCCTGGCTGCCGATAGTTTTAAGGCAGTTCGGCAGATCCCAGGTTCGCCGGCCAGAAGAGGTGGAGACTGGGGAGGTGGTTGGGGGGGGGAATCGAGGGAGGGACGGGCGGAGAGGGGTGTCCCCACGTCCCTCCACGCACATTTCGGTCACGCCCAGCCCTGGCCGAGTCCCTCCGCCGACTTCCCCAGCAGAAATTATTTGCGGTCTCCCCCCACGCCACCATTCACAGACCAAAATCGCTTTCAAAGAGGATTAGAGGAGAAATTCGTGGAAGGCGAGGGCTGCTGGCCACGATGGCTTTGCGCATTGTCAGCGGCCGGTTATTTTATTCTATTTGTGATAATTACATTTATAGCCCAGCTTTCCCCCCAAAGAGCTCAAAGATAAGTGAGCTTGGTAATATGGGGCTCTGAGCAAGGACAAAATTTGGCACCCTTCCCCACTAAATATTTCTTATTTTCACAAAATTTCCCCTTTTTTTGTACGATTGCTTTTTATGGGTGTTCTCAGTTGGTATCCATATAAATATGGTAAAGGGACCCCTGACCATTAGGTACAGTCGTGGCCGACTCTGGGGTTGTGGCGCTCATCTCGCTTTATTGGCCGAGGGAGCCGGCGTACAGCTTCCGGGTCATGTGGCCAGCATGACTAAGGCGCTTCTGGCGAACCAGAGCAGCGCATGGAAACACCGTTTACCTTCCCGCCGGAGCGGTACCTATTTATCTACTTGCAGTTTGACGTGCTTTCGAACTGCTAGGTTGGCAGGAGCTAGGACAGAGCAACGGGAGCTCACCCCATTGCGGGGATTTGAACCACTGACCTTCTGATTGGCAAGTCCTAGGCTCTGTGGTTTAACCCACAACAACACCATTATTATTACTATTTTGCGCACTGCCACTCTCAAATTCAGATTCCTCACTGCCATAGCTTTGGGCACAGAGCAAAATCAGGCCTCTGCGTTCACTTCCAGATCACTTCTTTATTGAGCGTTTGTTCCGATTTGTTTGCAGAACAGTTAGATGGTGTTCCAGTTTATTTCCCTGTCACTCTCCTTACAGTAAAAAGTCTGATCTTTTGGAGATTCGGGTTTCTTGAGCAAGAACCTCCCAGTCAACTATTGATGCTGCAACCTGAATTTGCAGGTATGTGATTGAATCCCACCTGCCTTACCTGAATGAGGCAAGAGGGGTATCAACTGTGACCTCACTCAGTGGCTGTTGGAGCATAAGGAACAGGCTTCGCCATCAAGGAAAGCCTTTGCAACCCTCATAGCAAACTCGTGGTCTCTTGCCAGTGCCAAGTGCAAAGCAGTCTAATACGTATTTTGGTGCCCAAGGCAAAGAAACCAGTCCTGTGCGTACCCGAAGCAAAAATATAATGAGGAACTGTTTGTGTTCTTTGTAGCTCTTTAGAAGTGCCCAAAATATATTGCCCGTAGCAGCTGCCTCCCTCTGCCTGATGGGGCAAGTCCTTGGCATGTGTATGATTTCAGCATCCATTGGGAGGCGTGCCACAGACACTCTGTGTGATAAGAGTCGAATTCTGCACATGATGATAAGGTCTGAGCGGGACAGCATCCGTATCGATGTGTTCCCTGATACCACCATCTTTCTAACCAGGGGACCGTGCAAGCACAGCTTTAAAAATGGGGGCAGATATTGCAAGGATTTGCAGGAGAGCCGCCACCGCCGATACAGCTGCTGGCACCGTTTTTGTGTCCTCTGGGCTGAAAACAAGCAGGCTCCAGGGTCGTGTGAATCAGCCCTCGTGAACGTTGAGGCAAGCCATGCTGTGAGTTTGCCCAAGGGAAGGGCTTTTCAGCTGAGCATCACCCTAGCCAAGTGGCATGCCCTTTGGGCTTGGAAACCAGCCATCTCTCAACTGCCAAGAAAACCTCCTCCCCTCCTGCTTCACTTTCCTGCCATTGCATGCCTTTCCCACCAAGGCTGCTTTGAGAGACCCACTATTCAATAGTTTCGTATCTCCCAGAAGGAGCGTTTCTGCAGCCAGCTGGGGCCTGAGGACAATAAGCGAGAAGTGGCGTTTTCTGCCAGGGACATAAGCCTTAGACAAGAGTTTTCCTTAATATATTAATTAGTGTTTTGGAGGAGATGTTGTGGTTTGTTTGTGTTTCCAGGGAACTGGGGCAAGTGGAGCCTGGTATCTGCCAGTCTCCCCCCCCTTAAAAATATTTTTTTCTGAAAGCAACAGCTTCCTGAAGCTATAGGAGATGGGGACATCTGGGCAAATATGCTGTTTATTAGCCAAGTAGCATGATGACCGCTTCTATAAAAGGCTGCATACTTATTTATCAGACAGTATTGGTAGTTATCGCTAGCCAACCCTTTAAATGCACACTAGTCAAGATGAGTTAATGTAGATTACTAGTTTTGGGTGGGTGAGGGAGGAATGAAGGAAATCAAACCCACAACAAAAACCTCATGGGGGAAAACAACTAAGTTGGGGTGTGTGCAATTCTATAAAATAACATGCATCTTCAAAGGTAGAACACAAAATTTATGGCCACAAGTATTGTATTTTTTAAAAAGTGATGCATCACTGGAATGAACAAACCTAAAACCTTTTGTACATAACAAACATTATGCACATTTATGTGTCTGCCCGTGAGCAAGCACACATTATGTACGTTATGTAGCATTTTAAACCATACATTGGTCTCCTCCTGTGATCTAGGATCATGGTCATCACAATTTCAAATGTGCATATATTGAAAACAATTTCCTATTTCTCAGCCTGCTGCTTTACTGTATGTGTAACTTACTCTAAGCTTCCAGCCTTCATTGCTTATATTGCCTCCACCCTCTCTATTGTAAGCTCTCTTTATCTGTAGATGGGGGGGGGTCTACTCATTCGGCATCTCACCACCAGTTCCTTTGATTCTTTGGTATCTTAATGCCTCATTACCCCCAGGCTATCACCTAATGCAGGAAGCTAGTCCTGGCTTAATAAGCTGTCGACACGTGCTGATTCCAGATGATTAGAAGTGTCTAATACACAGTTTAAATACCCACAGGTCTAGCACATTTTTAACACTCTAAGCATTAGTTAAATTCTGTCAGGAGCTAGATCCAGGAATCTCGAGGAAAGTTATGACAGGATTCACTTCTTAGGCTCTCTCGTTGTGCTTCGTTCCTGGTTAATGTCTGCAGTGTGGTATAGACCACAAAGGAGAAATCATGCGCACATTACTAGCCAACGTTTTGTGATTTTATGTTTGAATCATATATCTGCAGTAAGCGCAAACAAATGTGTGTGCCTATACGAAAAAGCCCTTAGAGTTCTAGCATGGAAGGTACAGATGTATTACACTTTTGCATAACTGGGCAGTGTTTTTTGCATCGAAAGAAGCAAAAACTTAACATCAGCTCTGACCAGCATAGCTCCAAATGCTGTAACCTTTTCTCATAGGGCAGTTGTTCAGTCTCCTTGATCACTTTGGCTGCCCTTTTAAGGGGTTGAAGTCCAAAACAGCTCCAAAAATGGTGACGGCTGTTCCATCGGGACCTGGTGTGCAACACAGCAGCCCTGTAACTCTGGCAGGAACAGAGTACTCAGCTTCAGCAGATCTCCTTAAATTTATTCAAAATATTCCCAACAAAATATGCACAGTGTTCTCGGCTTGGGCCCACTGCACCTGGGACAGGATCCAGCCCAGGCTCTGTTTCTCCTCTTACAAATCTCAAATCGGGCGTTGTTGTGCAACAACGGCGAACAAATAAACATGCTGAGAAGCTTGGTAAGCCCCACGATGGTGGCTGGATGGAAATATGAACAGTATTGGGAAAAGCTAATGCATTCCAGAGGCATTTGGGCATTATATGTTTTCCTACTTCCAGTTGGACTGCTTTGACCTTGGCTTTGGGTAGGCAATTCTAGGCAACTCTTGCATGACCTCGTCTGCCAACATATTATCACTGAGCTGAATCGAGGCTGACGCTTGAACGGGAGATGTGTTGTCCGCCTCCAAAACCCATATTACCACCTGACGCCGCTTTTGATGGACAAATCGAACTGAACAGAAATTCAGAGCTTGCTTTCTCCCTTTCTTTCCTCTCTGCCAAGACAGCCTCGTTTAAAAGATAGCTGATTGATAGATTGACTGTCACCGACTGGAGGCATGACGCTAAACGGGTCCCTGTGTCGCTGCTTTTTAAACATAAAAAAAGAAATGGAAAAGATCTCTAGGGAAAGCGGAATAAATGCATTTCCTCATTTATATCTCATATTGGCAATGAGCAAGAAACAAAATGTTGACGAAAGGGTGAATGTGGAGCAATTTTCCACTGTTCAAATAAAGGAAAACAGCTAGTGTCATAATTCATACCCGACGTTTTCTGCTGGAGAGAAGAGGGGCGGATGCCAAAATATAATGACTTTGATAGTTTAATACTCATTCGGCTGTCTAAGCTACAGGCTGAGTTTAATGGGGCTTTTGAAGCAGAAAAATAGGCAGACATCTGTATGTGAAAAATCGATTTGGACATGCTATAAAACGAAGCATTTTGTTGAAGATTATCCGCCTCTTGACTGGGTATCCTGGATTTGTTATTAAAAAATTATTCAGCACCTTAAGGTTACAACCCTAAGCTAACGTACTAGAAAGTAGGTCCTGTGGGACTTGGCAGGATTTACCTCTAGGTAAACATGCTGAGGATCACTTGGTGGAAAATAATTTTGCACTTCTTGGAAATTTGTGTGGAGAGGAAAAAAACTGTATTTTTGGTCTTTTGCTCTCCCAGAAACTTAGTGAGGTAGATATATTTATTTCAGGGGGGCTGTCTATGCGGCAAAATCTCTTCCTTGCCACAGAAAGTTTGGTAAGAATGCTGAAAATTATTTAGCACCCCTCAAAATGAGGGGTCTTTCATTCTCTGAAACAAAGTCAATTCTGTTAAACCAGTTTGTCAGATTGATTATTGAGGTAAAACTATACATCTTCCAACCCATTATTTAAACTGTGTGCCCAAAATCTAGGGCACTCCTACTGCTGTTTTGGAGTGTACACACATTATTATTATTATTATTATTATTATTATTATTATTATTATTATTCCCATTTGACTGCGTTGCCCCAGCCACAAATGAAAACACCAAACACAGTAAAACATCAAACATTAAAAGCTTCTCTTTCACCCACAAAGCTAGCAGTTAGCCACAATCCTCATCTACCCCACAGTTTCTTGATAATTCTGCATTTTGATACATTTCCCCCACAAACCAGTTTCAATCTGATTTGAAAATGTAAGCCACTGGTGTGGACAGACAGCAGGTGACTTGGAAGCACACCTAGGCGCACTGATGTGTACAGCAGGGTGCAAATGTGACTGGAAATGCAGTTTTGGGTTTTTCGGGGTGTGGAGAATCACACTGTGCTTTCAGCCAATAATGCATGCACAGCCTTAGTTATGACACAAGCTACTAGGAAAACAGCAACAGCATGTTTTCATCCGGAGTAGGACGCAGATCGGGTCCACCACCCAGCCATAGACTCACCCCCTCCGATGAGGCTAAAGGGCACAAGAGGCAAAGAAATTCGAGTGCAGGGCTTCAGGGAAGCCTTTCCACACCCGCTGCCTAGGAACCCCTTGCTTGTTGGCCAAAGAATCCCTGGGCATTGCAAGGGATTGTGGGAAGTGCTCTGTGCATCCGCTCAGAGGTCTGTTGGACCTCGCCATTGCTCTGGGAGTGAACCATGAGTGCACCTTAGAGCAGCCCTGGGGAACATTTAGAGCACGGTCCACCTGTGGCTTGCAAAACGTTTTGGATCTGAATTGCGGGACTCTTTCCTTGGCTGCACAATGGACCTGTGATGTTTGAACGACAACAAAAACGATGGTTCTTCCTGTTGCCTTGTCGCAGGGAGGGGAGTGCCTGCGCATATAAATGTGTGCGAAAGTGGGGAGTGTCCTTCTTTAAGGGTGGGGGTAGCCCCCTCTATATATGTTTGTTTGTGTGTGTTTGCTTTGGCCCTGCCCTCTGCTTGCACAAAGACCCTGGAAGGCTATCCCTAAGGGTATGTAGATAAACTTCCCCCAGCGCTGCCCTGGAGAATACCTAGCCCCTGCTGCTGCAAATTTTGGAGGACAACAGCTAGCGTTGGATAAGCTGTCTGTCAGGGTAAACTTTCCACCATTGTCCACCACTATCTTCTTACTGAGGACCCCAGCAAATACCTGAAAGCCCCACATTTTTGCAGCATTTTTGCAAGTGTGGCTTGAGAACCACACTCAACAGACCTTCACTAGCAGCAAAGTCGCTGGAGTGGATTGCAGGTCTCAGTTGTAGGTGGATCTGCCTGTCAGCTTCCTCCTCCATCTCAGTAAAGCCCTTGTAGACCTCGGCAGGCAGGAGGATGGCGACAAAACTAGAATTATTTGGCTCTGCCTGCCAATATCTCTGGCGCCACCTACTGTTTGCCTCCCTGCCTCCTACCCTATCAGTTCCGCCACTGGTGCATAACAGTAAATACCTTGTGCTGAAATGCTCCTGCAGTCCTAAGCAACTAAATTTGGGGTTTTTAGCTGCTTTTTCCTGTCCCCCTCAAAATACCCGTTCAAAGTAAAACTAGAAAATGGAGTCTCTTTCAGAAGAAAGCACAGCATTCTCCTCTTGGAGTGTTCCCAGGCTTTAATGGGATCCATGCAGCAGAAAATAAGCACATCAACTTGAAAAATTACAGAGTAAATGGTTTTATAATAACAACAATCTTAACTTTCAAGTTCTGCGTCTGATCCTTCCCATACAATGCTTCCAATATGATCCGTGAGCCTCCATTAATTGGGCCTCACAGTCGTCAGATTTCCTTGCAACCATCCCACCCCTCCCCTTTCCCATTATTTATATTATTCTTAAAGACAAAAATCAAAGTGGTTTAAAAACCGCAGGTGTTTGGAAATGGTTGCAGTCACATGCAAGGCAGCCTGTGTGCTTTGTATTACGTGGAGCCAAAAACTTAACACGCACACGCCTAAAAGGTAATTAATTTGCATGGGTCCTTTCATCGCATGAAACAGAAAGCTATATGGGAATTTTATGAGGAGGAAAACATCTCTTCTCTCTCTCTCCCAAAACCCCGACCCGCCATTTAATGCTGATATGTCTGACTGAGGGATGCCAGCTGTCCCCATAACACATCAGACCGACGGGTGAGAAGAACGCCATATCAAATTAAAACTGGAGAAGGGATTTAACTGAGGAGAATATAGCGTTCCCATCTGGAAACATGCCAGGACACCAGCATTTTGCCGTTCCCTCCTTGCTGTGATTGCCACCGAATCCACAATCGCAGCAGATTGACTGCCTTTCAGGCTACGTCCAAGTGGCTCTAATTTAGAGGACTGCACTTCCTTATTTCTCCTGTACTTCTGGTCCAACCTGTTCTAGATGCGTGGAGGATTTCATCCGGCACCTGCCTGACCCAAGCAGGTGTAGCAGCGCAGGCCGCGAAATCTGTGAAATTGTTGGCTCCCTACTGTATGTGTGGGTGGAAGTCCCCAAATTTGGACGATTGTGTTTCTGACCCTACAGATATCACCATAGCTGTCAACTTTTCCCTTTTCTTGCGAGGAATCCTATTCGGAATAAGGGAATTTCCCTTTAAAAAAGGGGAACGTTGACAGCTATGGATATCACAGAAAGTTTCAGACTATACCACTTTTCTCCCCCCCCCCCATGTCAATGTAGGAACATAAGATTTAGGGACAGATCCACACCATACTTTTAAAGCGCACCCAACATCGCATTTATAATAATAATAATAATAATAATAATAATAATTTTATTTATACCCCACCCTTCCTGGCCAGAGCCAGGCTCAGGGCAGCTAACACCAATAAAATCACAGAAAAAACACAATGGGGGGGGGCAGGGAAGTGGGAAAAAAACCAATTCAAAATACAGGTTAAAATGCAATTTATAGCACATGGCTTCCCCCAAAGAATTTGCAGCTTGTTATAGAACCGTAGAGTTGGAAGGGGGCCCGGTGGTCATCTAGTCCTGCCCCCTGCAATGTAGGAATCTCAGCTAAAACATCCATGACAGATGGTCATCCAGCCTCTCCTTTAAAACCTCTGAGGAAGGAGAGTCTACAACCTCCTGAGGGAGTCCGTTCCACTGTCAAACAGCTCTTCCTGTCAGAAAGTTGTTCCTGGTGAGTCGGAATCTCCTTTTTTGAATCTATTGGATTGAGTCCTAACCTCCTCGTTTCATCCTTACAACATCCCTGTGAGGTAGGCAACACTAAGAGGACCAAGGCCAAGCTACGAGCCCAATGGCAGAGTGGGTATTCAGACCCTGGTCTCCCAGGTTGCAGGGTGTGGATCTGCCCCCCCTGCCCCCAGGCCAGCATTCTGTTCTCCCGTTGGTCAAATAGATGCCTTTGAGATGTCCAGAAGCCAGATATGAGTTCAATAGCAACCTTCCCCTTGTGTTCTCCAGGAGGTGGTATTCAGATGCACTTAAGTGAACCAGTGTGATCTGGGAAGTCTGTCCTCACAACGACTCTTAGGATGCAGGCTGGGCTATGAGAAGCAGTGACTCCCCAATGGGCAACTTCATGGCTGAGCAGAGATTTAAGCTGACCTAGTCCAACAATTTTTGCCAGGGACACGGGTGGCGCTGTGGGTTAAACCACAGAGCCTAGGACTTGCTGATCAGAAGGTTGGCAGTTCGAATCCCCATGATGGGGTGAGCTCCCATTGCTTGGTCCCTGCTCCTGCCAACCTAGCAGTTCAAACGCACGTCAAAGTGCAAGTAGATAAATAGGTACCACTCTGGCGGGAAGGTAAATGGCGTTTCCGTGCGCTGCTCTGGTTCGCCAGAAGCAGCTTAGTCATGCTGGCCACATGACCCGGAAGCTGTACGCTGGCTCCCTCGGCCAATAAAGCGAGATGAGCGCCGCAACCCCAGAGTCGGCCACGACTGGACCTAATGGTCAGGAGTCCCTTTACCTTTACCTTTAGTTCAACACTTTAAGCACTGCATTGCATCTTAGTTGGACACACATGCCCCAGTTACTCTGTTTCTTGCCTCACACCTGTGATTTAGGAGCAGCAAACTAATCCCGATCTTGATTTGTTATTCTGTGGAATTGATCAAGAAACTGTCATGTGAAAATCCTATTGAAATGAATGGGAGCTGCTCTTATGCATAGTGTCTGCAGAGGGGGAATGTCCAGTGGATCAATCCCTTAATTTCTTAAGTCAGAGCTTCCTCTCATTGTCTTGTTATGATAATAATAAAAAAAGAAAGATTCAAGCAACCCACCCTAGTTCATGGACTCTCTTTCCTTGGAGGTTTGGGGGTTGGACTAGATGACCTGTGGGTCCCTTCCAACTCTGCGATACTGTGATTCTGTGCATTAATCCACATCGCGGTAAGCCATAGTTAATAGCTTTCCATGCTGATCTGAGCCAAGTTGCTCCTCCCTGCTAGCGCACTGGAGAAACAAACCATGATCCCTGGCTTAACCTTATGTCCAAACCAGGGATTACTTCACTCAAACTATGATCTGTAAGCCAAGAACAAACTTTGGCTGCAGGTTGCACTTTGTTTGGAGTGAAGCAAACCACGATTCCCAGTTCAGACATAACACTAAGCCAGGGATCATGGTTTATTCCTCCCTCGTGCTAGCGGGGAGGAGCAAAACGGCCAGATCAATGTGTTCACGGCAAGCCATTAACTACGGTTTACTGTGATTTGTGAGCGAGGCCGTTACAGAATAACAATAGGGGGAAAGCGAATAGGGCTTGAAGGGGACCTGGCTCAATGCATTGTGTTTACATGCTGAAAAGGACCTGAAATATTATTTACATGCTTAGCTGGAGTTTATCCCGTCTTAGACAAGTCTGGATCGCTACCTGTTATACTTGGCTTGCCCTGGTTTCAATAAGAATTTATAGACCCTAAGCCATCTGCAAAATGTCCCAGCTCTTCAAGGCCAATGTAAATGCAATGAGGGGGAACGAAACCACACAAAGGAAAGGTTAACTGCTCACTCGCTCGCTCTCCCCTCCCCAAAGCTGGCACACTTTATAATTGCAAGAAAAAGGCCTCCTAGCCGTTGAAGTTCATCACTCATGTGCATCTCCAGGGATAATTGCAGCATTGACTTAGCACGTAAAAGGGAGGGCATTTTCCTCTTCTTCTCTTCGCCTCTTTCTTGTGCTTAAAAACACGCTGCAGGTTTTGCTGAGCATCATGAAAGCTGCCCGGTTTGTTTGAAAACTGCTGCTTTCACCTGGCATGGGCATTAATTCCATGCATCTTATTGGGAAGTAAGAGGAAGCAAGCCTAGCAAAAGGACTAAAACTGTACATTTTGTGCAAGGAAAAAATCTCAACTGCACGTTCCTGGTTTGGAAGCAACAAGCAGAGAGAGAGAGAGAGAGTGGGGTTTCTTCTGTCCCCCCCAATCAATATTAAGAAAAGTAATTTGAAATTAAAATAGATTTGGAAACTCTAGCCTTGCTTTTATTCTGAATGACAGATCCTTCCTGCCCTTAGCTCACCACATCTCTCCAAGCTCGAAAACTGAAGCGTCCTCCACTGCAACGGAGAGTGGGAAAGATATTTGTGGTCTGGTGCTGGGAGCAAGGCGCTGGAGAGGCAGAGGAGATGTCAGTCCAGATTTGGGCTAAGCGCCATGCTCACGCTGGACAAACATCTCGCGAGGTGCTCAGAACTTCTGGGAGATGCCGCTGGCCTCGCATCATCAGCCAGCGGGATCTAGCACACTGTTTATGCGCAAGCCCCAGAGAGGCTGTTACTTTTGCTGCAGATACGTTGACAACATCAAGCTGCCATGGGTTATTCTCAGCGAGCCTGTTCAGCTTTGAGCTTTGTACCCTAAGTCCATACTAAATTAGCATACTGAATGAAGTAATCTGCGTTACGTCCAACAGATTTTGAGTTCGGACAAAACCACTCTGTGGGGTTACATTCAAGCTCTAGTTGTGCTTAGAATCTCAGAATCGTAGAGTTGGGTGGGTGTCCCTGAGGGTCGGCTAGTCCAACCCTCGGTATATTAAGCAGGATCAGGCCAAAGGGGCCATGTAGGCCAGCCCTCTCTTCTCATCATAGCTGTCAACTTACAGATTTGAAAATAAGGGATCAGCAACCAAAATAAGGGATTTTCAGAGCACAGGTATGTTCGACTTCTGAGCCCCTCCGAGCCAAAGGCAGAAAGCCCAGCCAGCAGCCAAATGAAGCCTCAAGCGGTGGTTCCCACAGCACAGCAACCCGGCAAACCACCGTCACCTCTCCGCTGGGAAGCGCTGAGCAAAGGCGAGTCCCCAGGCAACGCGGCCGATTTGATCGGCACAAGGCATGCAAGCTCCACCCCCCAGTCGTTCTTAGACTCCTTATTGGGTGAGCAACGCAGCCAAGCAACACAGTTGGAGCCTCCCTCCTCCCTGGCCAGCAGGCAGGCAGGGAGAGGAGCTGCTTCCTTTGAAACCCAGGAAATTTAAGGGACATCATCAATAAGGGACAGCAGCGGGACACAGCGCTGGGATAAGGGACTTTCCCGCCAAATAAGGGACGGTTGACAGCTATGCTTCTCATGCTGTCAATCCCTGATGCCTAGGGGGAGCCCACAAGCAGAACACAGCTGCGATAGCCCTCTCCTACTCCTGTTATGCAGCAACTGGTATTCAAAGACACGCTGCCCCTGACGCCAGAAGTTTGACTCATAGCCGCTGATTGTGTTCTCATCAGTTATCTTGCTGTGGTTATTTTGCATGCGTTAAAGCTCTAACTGAATTGTCAAAGGCTGTAGCTGTGCATGCCTTCAGTGCAAATTTAATAAAGAAATACCCAACTGATCGCTGCGCTTTGCGGTGGTGGGGGCTCCTGCAGACGCCAGGCTCATTCCCACTTATCTTTTGCCCTGCGCTTTAAGCTCCGTATTGGACTACCTTTCTTTCTCTTTTGTTTTTGTTTTTTTGTCCCAGCGCTTTCGACATGAAAACCCGCTCTTTACCGCTGAATCGGAACAAATGGCAATTTGGGTTTCCCCCGGATTGCTGTTTGCTCCAATTCAGCCATCGAAAGCTAATGAGGCTTTCCCCTCCTCCTCTTTTTAAATCGTGTGCTGTTCAAAAACATTATACAGGAAAGAGAGAAAGAGAAGCCTTTTATGAGATATTCCCCCCCCACACCCCATATTTCCAGTTTAGCATTGCTGTGCTAAATCAGCTTGCGGGAGGGGATGCCATCTGGATTTAGCCTAAACATATATGCTAAGTGTAATGGGAAACTGCCTGGGTGATGCAGTCCCCTTCTTGGCCAGTGATGAAAGGGGGCTGTTGGTTCTTCTTTTAATGCTTTCCACTGTTCCCATCTGAACACTCAGCTAAAGTGCTTTCAGTTGAAGTGCTTCAAAAAAATACTTTTTAAAGAACTGCAATTAGAAATGATTTTTATTTTTTATTTTTTGAGAAAGCCTAGTTCCTTACAAGACTCCAAAGAGCAGTTCTGATTTCAATTCATGCATTGGGCTGGATTTTTGAGGTCGGCAGCAATTTCATTTGTCTTTGCTTTCGGCTCCCCACTCCCCGTCCATAGAGAAGAATAACAATCACGAGTTGGTTTATTCCAGAGGTACGTCCAAGACCACCTCTGTTTCCTGCTTGGGGGGGCGGGAGTGGGACAGGGAAAATAGCTCCAAGTAATACATCTCTCTCGCAAGTGCTTTCCCACAGTTTAGCAAAGGATTTTGCCCTAGAGTTCATGTTAGTGGATTCAGACAAATCACTTAGCGCTTCTTACACTGCAGCTTGACCACTGCAAAATTGACCCACATAGAAGATCACCACTGGAGGCCCTTCGAGGTGTTCCAGGGTCTATCTGTCTGTGATCAAGGAGGGAGACGTATTCATTAGCCACACAAAGTCTCTGAGGGTAGTTACGCCTTGCTCACTCCCTTATGAAATCATTTAAGGAGAAGATCTTCAGCAAGGTCTGTGGTCAAGAACCACTGCAGGCTGGTTGATTAGAGTGACCACCTTTTCACTTTGTAGAATTCGGCAGGGAGGAAGGTTGGGGTGGGGAGCTAGAATGAGTTGATTCCACCTATTGTTGGCTCTGGCGCCCCCTGCTGTCTGCCTCCCAGTGTTCCAGCCTAACAATGGGTACCAGCCAGCACTGCTGATTACATCTTGCTTTGATAGACCCGTCAATATTGCTTAAGGTTGTTGACACATGGTGCTAATTGATGTTATTGCCTCCCCCCCCCCCCCGCGCTGCTATTTTTATAAAATAGGCTTTAGCTTGCTGCTTTGTGCTGTTTAGATTTCAATCCTAATATCCATTTACTTGAGAATAAGCTCCACTGAACTCAATTTATTTCTGAGTAGCTATGCGTAAGATTGCACTGTTAGCTTTGTAATTGGCTTTTAAATGGTGTTGTTGTTTGGATAGTGGTATTAGCCGCCTTTTAAAGTAAAGGGGTGTAAAAAATATTTTAGATGCATAAACAAAAATGGCACCCAGAGATGCTACTTCACCTCACTTCAGCTGAACAGCTGTGCCTTTCTGCATGAGAGGCAGAAAACCCAGCAGGTAAACATCCACGCTGGCTGTGACTGAGAACTGCATGTTTCTTTTTATTAGATTTCACTGTAGAAGAGTATGTTGTTGTTTTTTAGTCGTTTAGTCATGTCCGACTCTTTGTGACCCCATGGACCAGAGCATGTCAGGCACTCCTGTCTTCCACTGCCTCCCACAGTTTGACAAACTCATGTTTGTAGCTTCGAGAACACTGTCCAACCATCTCATCCTCTGTCGTCCCCTTCTCCTTGTGCCCTCCATCTTTCCCAACATCAGGGTCTTTTCCAGGGAGTCTTCTCTTCTCATGAGGTGGCCAAAGTATTGGAGTCTCAGCTTCACGATCTGTCCTTCCAGTGAGCACTCAGGGCTGATTTCCTTCAGAATGGATAGGTTTGTTCTTCTTGCAGTCCATGGGACTCTCAAGAGTCTCCTCCAGCACCATAATTCATAAGAGTATAGGATTTGTTTATTCACCTGAAGAAGAGATCCCTTTGCTCAAAATGCACCCTTCTCTGGACTCTGAAATAATAAATATTAGCCTGCCCCATTTGGGATTTCCCTCTTTCTGTGTCTGCTGGATCTAACTGCGCAGATTTGGTGATACTTAACCACTACTGTCCCCAACTACTCCAAAATCTCATTCCAAACTATTGCAGATATTAATATTGTGTAGCTTGAAGCGACTGTATGCATAAAAACCAACTCCTTTTGGAAATATAACACTGTGAAGGCCCTTAAGTTGAATTCAAAGATTTACTTGCAGAACTTTCTTCAGAATGGGACAAAAACATCAAAGATAGATACATCCATATAATTCCATACAATATCTTGTGCCAGTCCGGCACAGGTTCATCTTCTTAGAAATAAAAGGTAATTCCAAACAAACCTAGAATCAAAGATCTCTATCCTTGCATCCTCCGTTTTTTCTGAGGCTGCATGCTCCTGAGTGAACTCCATTATCACTTCTTATTCTCACAGAGCCTGAGAACAAAGACTTAGCCACTACTCTTCCAAGATGGCAATTTGCAACCAAATACCTTTGTCACCTAATCTAAGGTTAAACACTCACGTTTTAGCTAGCAGAAAACAACAATGGTTGTTTAATCATTTAGTCATTCCCCATTTCAGTGTCAAGTAAACAATTATACTTAACACACACAGCCTTGGCACTTTGATTTGAGAATTGCCGCTTCACAGAGAATTATATATCACCGAAGGATGGTGACAAGCCTCAGAGGGAGGGCTTCAGCCTTGTTTCTGGACTGTGGCACAGGACAAAGAAAGGCAATGTCATGGACAAAGGGAACCTTCTTGGCTCCCTTTTAATAGTTTGATGGATGTTTTGCAAATGATGGCCATCAGTCGACTCCATTGCTCCTTCCCAGCTCGAGCCGGCATCATGCAGACATACCGTTCCAGCGAAATATGTTTGGGTTTTTTTAGCAGTGCAGCTAGCCAGAAAGAGCCTGGGCTGAGCTGTGGTTCCAGGCGCTGCCATTGCCAGTCTGCCTAAAGAAAGGAATTCATAGGCAATCTAGCCATCAATAATGAAACAGTAAAATAACTCTCCGTGTTTGCTCCTTGGCTGTGTTTAACCATAAAGCAGCTGTTAAAACAGATCCAAATATATTAAAAATCCAAATCTTTCTGTGGTCCTGGATCTATTGCCATGCTGTTGTTTTTCAGCTTGGTGAGAATTTCCCCTGCCTGAAATCCTGGACAGCCCCTACCAGTCAGTGCAGGCAATACTGAACTAAGAGGATGTTCAGTTTAGTCGGAATCTCCTTTCTTGTAACTTGAAGCCATTGGGTCAAGCCCTAACTCCCAGAGAAGGAGAAAACATCTTGCTCCATCTTCCATGGGGCAGCCCGTCAGACATTTGAAGGTGGCTATCGCATCTCCTCTCAGTCCCCTCTTGCATCATCTATTTCCCTCCTCCTCCTGGTTCATGCCACCAGTGGGATCTGAAATGTGATCATTTGTATAAACAGAATCCCAAACCTTTCACATCCTCTTCCGTTCAGCTTGGTTGCTCGGGGCTTTCAAAGGTCATCTCTATAATTGAACAGGCGCTTGGGACGAAGGGACGTCTCTTCCCACCTTGTTTAGGAACACACAGGTCCCCTTCCTGATAGACATAACAATAGGCCGCGGCAGCAAACAGCAAAAGCTGATTCTCCATTTGTAACCTAATTCACGGTGCAATCCTGGACATGTCTGTTCAGAAGTAAGTTTCATTAAGTAGGGCTTACGCTTGAGTACGTGGATAGAGGATTGCAGGTTAAAGCAGGTGAAACAGATCTGGTTAGGGCAGGAATGGGAGAAACTCTGCCCCCCCCCAAGATGTTTTTAGACCACAGCTTCCATCATCCTTGACCATTGGCCATGCTGGCAGGGACTGATGGGAACTGGAGTCCAATACCATCTGGTTCTCTACTCTTGAAATAGGATATCCCCAACTCATTCATCATTATTATGGTCTGCTTGTGTTTCTGGAGTTTTGTCCAAGTACATGGAGATAGCTGTGGATGAAGTTTGTCCATATTCTCCCTGAAGGCAAAATTGTGCAGTCTCCAGTTTCAAAAACATAAGGGCCCTGTGGATCAGACAGAAGCAGGACACAAGTACAACTTGTGTGTCGCTTGCAATTGACATATACTGCTCAGAGCCTGGAAGTTCCATTTAAACTGGAAGTATCATACAAGTATCATACAAGTATTATAGAGTTGGAAGGGACCACAAGGGTCATCTAGTCCAACCCCCTGCAATGCAGGACTCTTTGGGCCAATGTGGGGCTCGAACCCACAGCACTGAGATTAAGGGTCTCTTGCTCTACCAACTGAGCCAGCTCTATCAACTGTCATGGCTAATAGCTTTTAACAACAACAAAAAGAAGGGAGAGGAAATTCGTCAGACATCGAAGCACAACAGTAAAGATTCGTTCACACGTTGCACTAAACACAGGTACAAGCTGTCTCTACACATGTGCAAGTGTTTGTGTTTATTTCTACAGCTCCACTATCTGTGAAAACAGGCACATAGACTGTACACTCATTGAATGATACACACTGTAAATGTGCTTAAAATGCCCAAGAAAGGTAAGTTGCTTTGTGGTGATAGTGCATAAGGTTGTAATTTTGTTTGCCGGTCCCCGAGAAGACTGCAATTGCTAAGTAGGATAATTGCTTTGTAGGAGACCAAGGCCACATTGACACCATACATTTAAAACCCTATGATACCACTTTAAACAGTCATGGCTTCTCTCAAAAGAATTCTGGGAGCTGTAGTTTGGTAAGGCTGCTGTGAGTCCCTAGGATACCCCTGTTCCCCTCACTGAGCTGCAATTCCCAGAGTGGCTTAATAATCAATCCCTCTTCACAGGGAACTCTGGGAATTGTAGCTTTGTGCGGGGAATAGGGATCTCGTAATAACTTTCAGCACTCTCTATAAACCTCCGCTTCCAGAATCCTTTGGTGGAAGCCATGACTGTTCAAAGTGCTATAAAAGTATGGTGTGAATGTGGCCAGTTTACCAGTTTCCTGCTCTCCAGTTCCATATTTATCCATGAGGAGATGGCAGCCTGAACTCTTGATCCATTGTAAAGGTAAAGGTAAAGGGACCCCTGACCATTAGGTCCAGTCGTGGCCGACTCTGGGGTTGTGGTACTCATCTTGCTTTATTGGCTGAGGGAGCCGGCGTACAGTCATGTGGCCAGCATGATTAAGCTGTTTCTGGCGAACCAGAGCAGTGCACGGAAACGCCGTTTACCTTCCCTCTGGAGTAGTACCTATTTATCTACTTGCACTTTGATGTGCTTTCAAACTGCTAGGTTGGCAGGAGCTGGGACCGAGCAACGGGAGCTCACCCCGTCGTGGGGATTCGAACCACCGACCTTCTGATCGGCAAGTCCTAGGCTCTGTGGTTTAACCCACAGCACCACCCGCATCCCTTGTATGGTCCTATAATATGATGCTCTATCCATTCCCCTCACTGTTTCAACAAATGGCAACCATTGCTATATTGGAGAATGTTCTGATCTACAGTGGTGCTGGCTGTGCCCACAGATGCCCTTTCTTTCTCACTTGGCTGTTTGCAATGCCAGCCTCTCTCATTATGCCTATGATCACCTCCCTGCAGTGAGATGCATGTGCTGGCATCCGAATGCGCTCAAACGCTCACACACAAAACACCCACACAGGTAGCAGCCCCCGAAGGCAGAAGAGAAGCCTCTGTTCTCCTCCTCCCCCCTGGCAGGCCTTCTGAGCTTTCTCCTCCCCAGATCTCTTTTCAACCCTCTTCCTTTGCTGAATTGGCCTACAGAGATGGGCCTGAGCCAAAAGCAGTGGGGGACCACATTAATAGGGGCCTCGAGCAACTCTCAACGGGACAAAGAGAAAGGGAGAGATTGTTTTCACTGTGAAGCCCAAGGTTTGCCCACTAGAATAAAAGGACCATGGTCAGCTAACTCAGCTGCTGCCAAGTCTTTTTCTTTCTAGGGGTGGACAGATCTGTCAATTTTGGGTTCTTTCAGTTTTTTCGTTTTTTATTTAAGCTCTCCACCCCACCCCATTACTGCATCAGTATATGAATTCCCTTTAAAAAAGTCCACATGCAAATTTGTACTTTTTGTGTATATTTCTCCTGACATACATTTTCATCTGATATACTGCATGTTGCAAATTTTCACACACACACACACACACACATTTTATGTATTTTTGTGCACACTTTCCCCTAAAATGGGGTTTTTAAATGCATATTTTTGGTTGGAGAAAAACTGCAAAATTTAGAGAAGCACAAATTCAGACAGATAGCTGCGTTTTGGTTTGCGTTTGGTTCATGCATGAAGTAAATTAGGTAGGCTTGCATTCATTTCTCTCCAACCTTGGTTATTCAGTGGAATTTACTGTTTTCAAGATCCACGTGTTTGTTTTGGTGTGACTCATAACTGAATCTGTCTTAAAACTTTCCTGTCACATTCCCTCAATTAATATATGTCCCCCTTTCCCCATAGGAGCTCAAGGCGGATTACATGGTTCTCTCCCCAATGCTTTCTTCACAACAACCCTGTGAGGCAGCTTAGGTTAAGAAATAATAACTAGCCCAAGGGCATTGAAGCTGAATGGAGAGCTCAGGTAGAGTTTCCTCAGCTCTTAATCTGATAGATTGAACCACTACCCAACATTGGCTCTACAATGAGAAGCCCGAACCCTCTGGGTTCAGACAAAACACCGCTGCTTACCTCAGCAAAGTGGGCTACAACTCCTGGTATTACAGTGAATGAGGGAGTGCCCTCCACTGTTCCAAAATCACACTTCTCTGCCAGGTTTTCTGAATGCTCCACATCTTATTATTCCCCTGCAGGAAGACATTATTATTTTTATCCTCATCATAAATACAGCCTTGACAGGTGGAGAATATCAATTTTCAGGGGAAAGGCTCGATGCAACCTTCGGCGGAGAAGGGTGAATTATCTTACCAAGACATCGGATGGGCGAGTTAATGTTAGATCTGCAGGCAGCAACATGGAATTGATTCTTCCCACTCGGGAGGCGTGACTGATGCTGCATTTCTTAAGCAGGGCCCGGGTGGTCCAGATGTCCATGTCTGATTTTGGCCCAACTACCGTGTGCATTTATGCCCGTCTTGCTTTTTTTATTGTCCTCCCGCTCTCCTTCTCCCTTGTCGTACAACCCACCACTGTTGTTGGAAGCTTCTCCTGGAAGGCAGTGGGAAGGACAGTGAGTTTTTTAAGGAAGGCTGGTGAGGTGGGTGGGAGGTTAGGGTTCCATAGAAGCTTATCAGCCCCTTCTCTGTTGGGAGATACTAATGGCTACCCTTAGAGGCAGAAGCAGCTAAAGTATGCACAAGTTGTTGAACTGCAACTCAGTGGCTTAGTGTGGGTTGCCAGAGCCCGGGGCTGCGCAAAGTGGGGGTGGGAAGGAGGGAAACAGATGGAGTAAACATGTAAACTTGTACATTCAACTGCCTAATGGTGTCCATGCCACCCAGGAGATCACAGCCGCACTGATAAGAAAAGAAGAGTCATTCTGTTGCCTGGCAAGGTCACTTCCTGGTTCACTTGGAGAAGCCATTTTCAACCGCGTCCAGCAGTGGAAGTGCGTCGTGTTAAGGATAATGGTTTAATTTCCAGAAATGGGGATGTTTGCTTATGTTGAACTGCTGTGTATTTTTAACATGAGGTTTTTTCCTTTGGCAGTAGCTCTCCTGTGATTGGCTGACTGTGAGTCACATGAGGGAGGCATTCCATTCTGTTGTGATTGTTATTCCAGTAACTCTCGTTTTTTAAACTGCTTTCTGTTCCTTCTCTCTGTTGTGAGGAGAATGGCTGCTGAGAGAGGCTTTTCAGGATACTGCTGAGGACAAGTGTGTGCCCGTGTGATCAGTCTGAAGTGAAACAGACAGGAAGATCCCTAAACGTTAATAAGGAGATACCTGTGCAGGAGCTCTCTATAAGAACAAAGTGAAAGGACACACTCACTGCCTACATGATTTATTGAGTCCACCCCAGACTTTTTAAAGATATTGAAGAGGATTCTGAGGTGCTGAATTCTAACCAACAAAAAACGGTTGAGCCAATCCTGTGGTCCCCATCTGGAACATTCTCCCACAATCCTCCACAGGGTTTCATTTCTGAGCTGTGAAAAAGGGTTCCCCGAAAGTTCAAAATACCACTGCAATAGAAGATCAAACACCAGCATTTATCCTTCCTTAGCTGCTCTGATCTCTGCCATCTGATCAGTTGCAGGCTTTAATCAGTAACCAGCAGTTTGGACACCACAATTTGCTCAATTACACGAAAATAAATGTAATTGTAGCAAATTGACCCAGGTTTTCTTTTTTAAAAAAGAATCAATGCATTTCAACTTAGCTGTCACATGCTAAAAATATTTTTGTTCAGCCCTGCTGGGTTGGGGAAGTGGGTAGAGGGCAGGCTTGAAACAAAACAATCTTTCAAGTTGTATGAAAATCTGAGGAAAATTAATAGTGCATCCAGTTTTGAGGTTTCTTGCTCAGTTTTTATTTCTGTGGGAGGCTTTCCTGTGTAAAGACTAAGCAAAACCAAGAGGATAATACATGGAGGATTTGAGCCAGCGTGCATATTAGATGAACAGCAGAGATTATGTGAATACATCTTGGACCTTTCTTGCTTCTTGTTTTATTCAGAAGCAATTTTTATTCATAGGAGTGCCTCCGTGGCATATTGCTCCCCTTTCCTAGTCATCTATTCATACTTCTCCTCCTCTCGCCTCTCTTTATCCTCTGTTTGCAAGGAGAGGAAGTGCCAACCTGGGTTCGAATTTACAGCCAAGTGGTTTGAGGGGGCAGAACTGGCACCTTCTTTTTCTAGGAAAAAAAAAGTCCTGGGTAGGATCTTTTATCTCTTCCTGATAATCAGCTCTGTCGCCAAGACCTCAAACTGGCTGTCACTTTGTTCCAACAAAAGTTACAGAGCTGGACTTTTCCACTGTGTTTGTTTGTTTTCATAAAATGTATACATCACTTGATCATTTTTTTAATGGGCACGTGCGGGGGAAAGCAGTCTCATAGCTAAAATGGTCCCAAGTTGTCAAGGGCTCTCTATATGCTCATAAAAAGGTAAAGGGACCCCTGACCATTAGGTCCAGTCATGACCGACTCTGGGGTTGCGGCGCTCATCTCGCTTTATTGGCCAAGGGAGCTGGCGTACAGCTTCCGGGTCATGTGGCCAGCATGACTAAGCCGCTTCTGGCAAACCAGAGCAGCACACGAAAACACTGTTTACCTTCCCGCCAGAGCAGTACTTATTTGTCTACTTGCACTTTGAGGTGCTTTCAAACTGCTAGGTTGGCAGGAGCAGGGACCGAGCGACGGGAGCTCACCCCATCGCAGTGACTGAGAACTGTGTGTTTCTTTTTATTATTCGCTGTAGAAGAGTATGTTGTTGTTCTTTAGTCGTTTAGTCATGTCCGACTCTTCGTGACCCCATGGACCAGAGCACTCCTGTCTTCCACTGCCTCCCGCAGTTTGGTCAAACTCATGCTGGTAGCTTCGAGAACACTGTCCAACCATCTCAACCTCTGTCGTCCCCTTCTCCTTGTGCCCTCCATCTTTCCCAACATCAGGGTCTTTTCCAGGGAGTCTTCTCTTCTCATGAGGTGGCCAAAGTATTGGAGCCTCAGCTTCACAATCTGTCCTTATATACATTATTTACCTTATATACATTATTTACCCAATGGGCCCCACGTGATTGGCTAATTCCGGGATTCTCCTGTAGGCCAATCAGGTTGCGGATTCACTTCCACTAGGAGCTGGATTGGGTGGTGTAATGAGTATGGGTTGCTCGTGCGTAAGTTGCCGCCTCTCCTGGCTATGTTGCCTGGTTAAACCTTTCTGTCTGGACAGCCCTTCACTTCGTGGCTGCCTCAGTCGCTAGCAGAATCCGTCAGTGGGCGTTTCTTAAACCTTTTCCAACATAAAAGTTGTTTGATGCCAAGTCTCCTCCTACTCTCCCTGCGCGGAAGTCTTCTGCGCAGGGAGGGCGTGGGTAGCGGAGAACCCGTGCTCTCCCCGCTGGTGTCCGGTGAAGAGTCCTGGAGCCATCTCGCCGATTCCCCCATCTGCCCCCCTTTATCCCGGGTGTTGCGCTAATTAGCTTCCCCATCTGCTGAGCTGCCTCTCTCCCTGCTGGGCCCTTCTTCAGCATCATTTGAGAGCCTTCCCTCCGCCTCTAGCTCCGATGTCAGTTCCCTGACAGGTGGCTCCTGTGGACCAGTCAGACTGCTGCATTCTGGATCCTATTGTTCTAGGACCAATCAGACTGCTGCATTCTGGATCCTATTGTTCTAGGACCAATCAGACTGCTGCATTCTGGAACCTATTGTTCTAGGGCCAATCAGACTGCTGCATTTTGGATCCTATTCAAGTCAGTACATAACATGCATCATGGCGTTTCTTCTCTTTGCCCTCCCACCCAGCGATCATCCCTCTTGTGATCAGTGCTATGAATACATGAGCTGACTGCCCATCTCTGGGCACTAGGTTCTAGGTTGATGTTGTCATGTTTGCAGACATCGTTGTAACGCAGAGTTGGTCTGCCAACTGGCCTGGTGCCGGAAGCCCTGTAGAGCAGGGTTTTGTTTATTTAAATGCTAAGTTTTCCCAGGCCTTTCCACCAGTAAACCCTGGTGCACCTGCTGCAACATCTCTGAGCCTAGCCGCACTGATCGATGCCTTGTTAACCCAAAGGTTAGATTGCTGCAATACGTTATATGCGAGGCTGCCTCTAAAAACAAATTGGAAAGTTCATCTAGTCCGGAGTACAGCTGCTTGGCTGCTAAATGGGTCTGGCCCAACAAGGGAGCAGATCTTGCCAGCTTTGAAACAGCTTCTCTGGCTGCCAGTCCATTTCCAAGCACAATTCGAAGCTCTGCTGGGACTGAATGTTAAATCCCCATACGGCTTGGGATGGGGTTACCTGTCTGTTCCCTGTCATTGAGGGAACGTCCTCAGACGCTCCTGACTCTTACTTCCCTGGCATCTACTCTTACCCTTTTCTGGCACTGAATGAAGACCCTCTTTTATTTTCCAGCCCTTTTAAAACATCAGACGAATCTGTTTTCACTCTACTCATGTGATATTCACATGCTTTCATCAACTCTGCAACAAACAGTTGACTATTGATATGTGCTGTTTGGTTGTTTTCATGGCTCTTAGTGTGCAAGATGCCCTGAAAAATTAATACTGAAAGTCAATGTTTGACTTGGAAGTAGATCCCACCGGGCTGTATCCAGTGCTGTCTGTGAGGGAACAGAATGGACTCCCTCTTGCATGAAAGGACTTCACCTTCCTCTCTGCCCCCCTTCATCTCTCCAAGCCCCCTCAAAACCTCCTCGGGAGGTTTGTGAGATCCTATGGAACAGATTTGGGGGGCTGTAGGGGGGAGGTGAGGAAGGTGAAGGCCTGTTGCATGAGCAGAAGTCCATTTGCACAATAATTATTATTGTTGTTGTTGTTGTTGTTTTATTATTTTGTTTTTGTTTTTTATTTTATTAATTTATTTAACATAATTATTATAAAATATAAGCAAAATATTACAAATACATACATACATATACAGTGGTACCTCGGGTTAAGTACTTAATTCGTTCCGGAGGTCCGTACTTAACCTGAAACTGTTCTTAACCTGAAGCACCACTTTAGCTAATGGGGCCTCCAGCTGCTGCTGCGCCGCCAGAGCACAATTTCTGTTCTCATCCTGAAGCAAAGTTCTTAACTTGAGGTATTTCTGGGTTAGTGGAGTCTGTAACCTGAAGTGTATGTAACCTGAAGCGTATGTAACCCGAGGTACCACTGTATATTTCAGACAAGCACACATATATAAAAAAGAACAAAAGAGAAAAAAGGAAGAAAAGAAAAAAGAGAATGAAAAAATAAAGAGAAAAAGAAGAAGAAGAAAAGTTGGAAGTCAGTCAATGAAATTTTATTACTGAGATATTTGTAGGATAAGGATGGATTATTATTATTATTTTAATTTATAACCCGCCCTATACCCGGAGGTCTCAGGGCGGTTCACAGAACAAAATCAAAATATAAAACCACAAAATATATAATCAAAATAAAAACAACAACCCAATAACCCCCTCTCAAAGAAAACCTCCCACATTTTAAAAGGTCCTAGGATGTCAGTCAAATCTACCAAAAGCCTGGTTAATAAGGAACGTTTTTGCCTGGCGCCTAAAGGTGTATAATGAAGGTACCAGGCGAACTTCCCTGGGGAGAGCATTCCACAGACGGGGAGCCACTGCAGAGAAGGCCCTGTGCTCGTGTTGCTACCCTCCGGACCTCTCAAGGAGGAGGCACACGAAGAAGGGTCTCAGAAGATGATCTCAGGATCCGGGTAGGTTCATATGGAAAGAGGAGGCCCTTGAGGTACTGCGGTCCTGAGCCGTTTAAGGCTTTATAGGTCAAAACTAGCACTTTGCATTGGGCCCGGAAACTAATTGGTAGCCAGTGCAGTCCAAACAATGTCAGATTTCACCCACTGTGTTCAATGGAAACCATGCATAGGTTTGCAGCCTTAATAAGAGACCAGATTTAGACAGTGCAGTGCTATACACTCAGGTGCAATGCTTACAAAGTTCAAAGAGACCTGGAGGTTTTAACTCTACTCGCTCCTTGTTCTCCTACTGTAAACAACATTACTTTCCATGCTTAGGCAGGTGCATCCCCTTAACCCATGTTGTTGTTGTTTAGTCGTTTAGTCGTGTCCGACACTTCGTGACCCCATGGACCAGAGCACACCAGGCACTTCTGTCTTCCACTGCTTCCCGCAGTTTGGTCAAACTCATGTTGGTAGCTTCGAGAACACTATCCAACCATCTCATCATCTGTCGTCCCCTTCTCCTTGTGCCCTACATCTTTCCCAACATCAGGGTCTTTTCCAGGGAGTCTTCTCTTCTCATGAGGTGGCCAAAGTATTGGAGCCTCAGCTTCATGATCTGTCCTTCCAGTGAGCACTCAGGGCTAATTTCCTTAAGTATGGATAGGCTTGTTCTTCTTGCAGTCCATGGGACTCTCAAGAGTCTCCTCCAGCACCATAATTCAAAAGCATCAATTCTTCAGCCATCAGCCTTCTTTATGGTCCAGCTCTCACTTCCATACATCACTACTGGGAAAACCATAGCTTTTACTATATGGACCTTTGTTGGCAAGGTGATGTCTCTGCTTTTTAAGATGCTGTCTAGGTTTGTCATTGCTTTTCTCCCAAGAAGCAGGCGTCTTTTAATTTCGTGACTGCTATCACCATCTGCAGTGATCATGGAGCCCAAGAAAGTAAAATCTCTCACTGCCTCCATTTCTTCCCCTTCTATTTGCCAGGAGGTGATGGGAGCAGTGCCCATAATCTTCGTTTTTTTGATGTTGAGCTTCAGACCATATTTTGCGCTCTCCTCTTTCACCCTCAATAAAAGGTTCTTTAATTCCTCCTCACTTTCTGCCATCAATGTTGTGTCATCTGCATATCTGAGGTTGTTGATATTTGAGGTTGTTGATATTTCTTCCTTAACCCATAGCTGTCAACTTTTCCCTTTTTTTTGCGAGGAATCCTATTCAGAATAAGGGAATTTCCCTTAAAAAAAAGGGAAACGTTGACAGCTATGCCCTAACCT